TCTCTCTCTCTCTGTGCACAGACGCTAACGAGACAACGGTAGACCTCCGCGAGATATATACGTACGCTTTTCACGCATGCCGCGTTCTCGTGGACGACAACCGCCGTAGATGTTTGTTCTGTCTCTGGTTTCTGTCCGTCTTCGTCCCACTCACGCTCGTGCTCGCGCAGTCTTTTTGCACTCGGAGGGTTTGCGGAGGGGCGCTCCTTTTTCTCGCTCTTTTGTTCGTTTTCTCTCTTTCTCCTTCCTCTCCCGCTCTCTTTCTCTCTTTCCTCTCTCCTCCCCCCTTCGAAGTGTTGCCGCGCATGTACGTACACCACACACACCAACGCGCGTGCGTGTACGACCGCGTAAACACGAGACCGGAGTCAGAGATAGACAGTGGAGCCCTTGAAGAGAGCGAGACTGGTTTCGCTCGTGCGTGTTCTGTCTTTCTCTCTCTCTCTCTCTCTCTCTCTCTCTCTCTCTTTCTCTCACTTTGGCCGTGTGCGCGCACGACGTGCCTGTAGGCGCGCGCGCGCGCTTTTCGCGCGATTACGCTGCGCGCGCGGACGCGTACACGTGCACGCGCTGCGCTCCGATGTGAGTGGCCAGCCGGCCGTACATACAGAGTGCCGAAGAGAAAGAACTACTACTACTACATCACACATATCTCGATGACGATATATTGAAAATTTGATTGCTCATTAATTTTGTAACTCATCTTTGAATATCCGAATAATCCGAGCGTACGCAATGAAACTGTCGTGTAAAGTCCATTTGAAGTGATAACATTTGCCCAATCTATTCGCACCTGGACGGGTCATTCCGTCAAAGGTGGTTCATTGTCCTTTGCTTAGAAAACTCTATGAGACAAAACGCTCTCTCGGGACTCCTCTTTTTTTTTTCTTTTCTTCACATTGTCATCGTTCTCGAAAGCCGTGCGCTTAATTCCCCAACACCCTGTACGTGCGTGCGTGCGTCAAGCGCTGCGCGATGTGCATAATGCGCGCGAAGTGTTCTGCACGCTCGCCTCGGTGTGCGTGTGCACGCGACGAGACTGCGCTCGCGCGCTCGCCGCTCGCACATACGCGTTCACGTCCGCTCGGTAGTAAAGAATCACCGTAAACTCCGCATGCCTGTCTCGTTCCCCTCTACGAGCATCGCGGCCGCGGCGGCGGCGGCGGCGGCGACGGCGACGATTCCCTTTTCCCCCCTTCGGCGACACAACCGGCCACCTACTGCGCACTGCCGCGCCTGTCGCGGACAGTGACGGATCAAGACGCGAGCAACGACCTAGGGTACCAAGAGGTCGTCGAAACACGGTGTTGCGTCTCGCTCTGCGAATGTATAAGTTACAATCGTAGACGAGTTATTTATTATATTCTCGAGAAAGGAAAAGAGAGACACACTCTCGTGCTTTTGATCCCTAAGCGCACTCTTCGATGACAGATCGATTTGCAGTGATATACCAATGATACAGATCGCGCAGAGAGAGAGAGAGAGAGAGAGAGAGAGATTCCACACTTGTAGAGGAGGCTGAAGGTAATTTAGCCAGGGCTTCAGAGTGTCTCTATACAGTCCTGCTCGCGGACTTCTCTCTGTCTCAACTCTACTCGGACCTGACAGGACCGTACGGTATAGGGCAGCGGAGAAAAGCGGTGCTTCTGGTCCACCGAGCGAAGACGCCCTAATGAACCGCTCAATACGCGTGTGTGTATGTGCGCGCGCGCGCCCACCCCTTATGGTACATTTTGATGCAAGATCGCGGCGGGATGAGAGAGCGAATGAATTCTCGCGGAGACGATTTCGCATTTATCGGGGAATACGCGTAAGTTTTCTGCATTAGTAAAAGTTCAAAAATTCTTGCCACGTTCTTGCGACCCCGCGATCTGCGCGACGAGCAGGTGTGTGCACGCCGCGCGCGCGCTTCCGCTCGTGTACACACACGTGCGAACAGCGCGATGCACATAGCTCGGTTACGACGCGCGGTCGGCGGCACGTGTTTGTGTGAATCGGACACTGTCGACGCCGCCGGCAGCCGAGCGTCTAGTCATGTGACCTTCCCGTCAAAATAGCCTGCGTACCTCCCCGCGCGCCATGCACACACTCGCGCTGAGCGGCGCGCCGCACACAGACACGGGCGCGGAGGAGACGAGGATCGTGGAGGTGCGGTTGCGGTGTGCACGCGTAGTATCGTTGCCATCTTGTGTTCATTGTCAGGGCCGGCGCGAAATATCAAATAATGCTCCGGCCGACGACGGTTCGCTCATCCCGCTCTCCCCCAAGAAACTCGGACCTGGACAATCGATCGTCCCGTTTCTGCTTTCGCGTTTTGCGTGAAAAATGCCTTGTTGAGAATTGTTCGACTTCTCGTAGATTCGCCGAGAGAGAAAGGACGAAACTGCGCGATCGTTGCTATCTGAAAGTGTCTGATGTCAATCACGATACAATTACACAAGCTAGCACTGTTTATGTACGATACATATATATGTACAAGATGTAACAAATATAATGTATTCATTTATTACTATCCATAGAGTTCTTGAAAAATTGTAGAATGACGTGAAATATTTACAAAAGGAATAGACTGTCACACACTTAGGTGTATTCAGTTGTGATATAAAAGAAACTTCCCAATAAACACCCAGACAAACAGTAACATATTAATGTTATGATTTTCTACTCAGCGATATGTAACTCTTGTAACGCATGTTGTATTGCGCTTATACATTGTTAAATAGGAAATTACAATATTAATTGTATTGCCAATTGTGCTATCCAATTGTACTACCCAGTATATTGGATCTCCAGGTGTTTATTGGATCTCGTTCTCTTATATTACTGATATAAAATAAGGTATTTATTATACCTACATTATGTATATTTAAATTTATATCTATCCCATCCTCTCTTTTTCTCATTTATCCCTTTTCGCTGTCTTACTACTTTTCTTTTTCTTTTTCTGCGTTTTCCTGTGTTTCAGTTCCTTCTTATCCTTCGACTTCTTTCCCTTCTCCTTATTCTTTTTCTTCTTCTTCGTCACAACTTTATCCTCCTCCGACGACGACGAGGAGTCGCTTTCTGTGGAACTAGACGAGCTAGAGCTGGAGCTCGACGACGAACTGGATTCGTCCGAGCTCGAGGGTTCCTCCTCTTCGTCCTCTTCGTCTTCCTCCTCCTTGTTGGTTAACACCGGCACAGGGACCGGCTTCGGGTGGGACTTGAGATGTTCTCTCAAGTCATCTGTCAGACCGCCCAGTCCGATGGAGGTGAAAAAATTGATGGCAAAACGCGTGTTCTTCGGGTCGTCCCTTGGAAACAGTCCTTCGAACACCTCCTGTAACGTCACGTCCTTGACCCGTTGATTCAGTTTGGATAGGCCCATGTTCTCGGAGAGCTCCTGGAATAAGATTTTGATGAATATCCTGCTAGAGCTCGTGGTATCCTCTTCGTTGAGCTTGATGCACGACAGCACGCCCCACGATATGGAGTCTGTGAACAGCAGGTGAGCGAAGAACTTGGACACATTGCGCAGCTTGTTGGTATCGAGGCGGTGTATCGTGTGATAAGAATCCCGGAAGATCTGCTCGAACGGCGTGACATAAATCTTATTGATGGCGCAGAAACGGCCGGCCAGCAGGCCGAAGAACTTCTCGTACGTGCGCATCTCAGCGCAGCAGTCTAGAAACATGTGGCACAGCTCGATCTCTTGACCGGGTTTCAGCTGCATCTTCATCAGCTTGTGCGCGCATTCCTCGAAGTCGAGCGACGAGTGTATCGTCAGGTAGATGGTGCGTCGCAGAGCGGTCAGGTTCGTTTCCGTGTTGTCGAGTATCACACCCTCCTTGTCACCGCCGACCGGCCCAGCACCGTTCTCCTCGCCCGAGCTCTCGTCCCCTCCGTCCTCTTCCTCGCCGTCCTCCTCCTCCTCGCCCTCCGACTCACTGACGTCCGAGCCGAGGATTTCTCGGCTCAGCTGTTTGTACTTGTCCTCGTTGGCGAGGTACTCCGCGTCGAACTTGAAGACGTTCAGTATGTCTTGCGCGTCCGTCACCTCGTCCAAGGTGATCAGGTGAGTGAACTGACTCTCCTCCTCGACGAGGTCCAACTCCTCCGGCACAGCTTCGTGATCCTTGAAGCCGTCTTTCCTAATCTGGAACATCACCTCGATCATGTATTGAACCCGCTTGTCCAACTGGCCTTCGTGCAATATGTTCCGCAGCATCTCGAAGATGGCTTCGATGCCTTTGCGCGTGACTTCCGTGAGCTTCATGCCGCACTCCTTGAGGAATGCGATGGCCACCTCGACAGAGTCGTCTGTCGGAGTTTCCACCAGCAGCGTCAGGATTTCCAGCGCGAGGATCTCGTGCGCCACGCGCTGATTCACCAGATGGGCCACGAATGTACCTGACGATATGCACAGCGGCTTGTCGTTGCGTCGGAAGCCGCGCTTAAACTGCAACACCAGCCGCCGCAGCACCAGCTCGCCGATGTTGGGGAACTTGGAGTTGATTATCGCGGTGAGCGCCGCGTAGACCGGCGTGAATGTGGGAGAGGCGGCCTGCGCCTGGATGATGGAACGTGCCAGTAAGCCTCTGCCGCGGACGATGTTTTCGCGCAGCAGCTCCCTCGTGATGATACCTATGTTACTGGTGTTGACTTTATTGATGAAACCGTGGATAGACTTCTTCAGGGCCTCCCATGCGATGCGCTGATAAGCTGCTCCGGACTTGTCGGTGATTTCAGCTTGAAGCATGCGCAGCTTGGCGGGCGGTATGTAGGCGCCTCCCGTTTTTGAGGTTAGGAGATCTACCGTTCGCTTCTGCCGAACTTCCTCCGGATTCTCTTGCGGCCCTCCGTAATATCTGCTGCCGATCTTCTCTTTCGCCGTCTCCTCCGCGGAATCGCGCTTCCTGCGCCTCTCGTCGTCGCTATATCTGGAAGAGGTCCGTTGATCATCATTGTATCTGCGATTCTCCTTATGATCGTCATTGTACCGACGATCTTTGCGGCCGCCGCGTCGGGAATTCCGGTGAGCATCCTCGTCACGTCGGGAGGTACGGTAATCGTCGTCGTGTCTCGAGCTCCTGCGATCGTCCTTACGTCTGGAGCTCTTGGCACCGTCATACCTGGACTCCCTGCTGCGTTCCTTGCTGCGCTCGCGATCCTTACGCTTGTGATAGCGTCCGTCGTCGTTATCGTCGTCATCGTCCTCGTCCCTTCTCGAATGTGATCTTTTCATCTTGTTTTTCGTATAACTTCAATACTTTCGTATAACCTCACTCGTGTACACAAATCTAATCGCAATCGCCTCGTCGATTCGCCACGAATAACGCCGAATTTATACTCGAAACTTGACGAGTGCAACAAGCGTACTGCGACGCCACGGTGAAATGGTGATAGTTTTGCAAACTAAAAAGCTTTAAAGAAACTCTGTTATCGACTGTAGGATAGACTTTGTCGATTCGTGATCAACTTCGTGACGTATGAGCGTTCTATGTTGAAAACGAATTTGATGGGTAAAATCTCGTACCTTATGAGAGAGACAACTGTATAATAACTGTGTAATTTTTAAATATATAAACTAAGTAACCGTATAGTAACATAATAGAATATATTTGAAAATGGCTGTGATTTCGAATATTTTCTCTCGCAGCACTTACAGCGGGCTACAAGCGGCGAAAATATTGTGTATGTTATTTTAATGTTATATGATTAGGTTATAGTACACGATGTGTATCGGAACGCGCGACTATTTAGTATTTTATTTCTGTTTATTAATAATTATATAAATTGTCATTAGCATGATTTGAAGCTATTAATAATTTACAAAAATATCATTTTCAGGCATTGCGGTCAGAAAAAGTACGACGGTCACTGATGCAAAACCGGTGGATAAGTCATCGAATAATAAGACAGCAGAACAGAGTTTTAAGCAAGACGAAGTTATTCCATCGAGATATCGGTTTGCTTACCCAGAATTCTTACCAGATCCTGATCCAAGGTATCGCAATACACTCAGAGAAAAACTGGAACGCATGGATATGCTTGCAAGGCGAGCACATGTAGAGATACCAGAGTTTTATGTCGGTTCAATATTAGCTGTAACTTATTCTGAGCCACACGCCACTGGAAAGATCAATAGGTTTGTTGGAATATGCATCGAAAGGCAAGGTTGTGGATTGAGGGCTTCGTTTCAGTTGAGAAATATAGTTGATTCTAATGGCGTCGAAATGCTGTATGAATTATATGACCCTGCTATACAACAAATTGAGTGCCTCAGGTAAATATGAGCGGTTTTTTCAAATTTGTGTCTGAGCCTATTTGGAGATCTTCCTTTACATTGATTATCTTCATTATCTAGACTTGAAAAAAGATTAGACTCACATTTACGGTATCTTCGAGATGCACCACCAGAATACAGTACGTTCCCTTTTGATATGAAACCTGAATATCTACTAGAAGGGACACCAGTTCCTGTAAATAAAATTAAAGTGAAATTGAATCCGTATCCATGGTTAGAAAAATGGGAAATTCAGCATTTGAAAGGTGTAGAGTTAGAACTCAATGAAAGACGCAGGAAAAGGCAAGAAACATCTAAAAAGCCTTGGGAAAAATATGACCTGATGAAAATATATAGGTAAGAAAAAACCTACTGAAGATGTAAAATATATATACATATGTTTATTTGTGACTTGTAGTAATTTCTGTTTTTCCATCCAGGTTGACTATACCTGAGGAAGAGCAAAATGAGATATTTAATGAGGTGTATACAAAACTACACGAATTTGAGGTTACTAGACGTAGGCAGAAGCACAAACAAAGTTTCGTACGTCCGAAAAAAACTGCTTAAATTATCGATTATGTACAGCAATTCTTAACCCTTAGAATACGGGGCAGTACAGAGCTGAACGTTCTGTATGGCCAGTACTCATCTGATCGCTCCTATCTTATATGCCCGCAGGCCATGCGATAGTTTTCGCCGAACAAATATATACGTTCGCAGTATTCTAAGGGTTAATTTAAGACAGAAAAACAGAAATATATGTAATTGTTTTCTTGCACAATATGATGTTTGTTCAGTCTCATAATGATACAATTGTAATTATTACATAATAGAAAGTGGCATCTCGTAATTGCTAATATATTTTTTTCTATGAGCAAAATATAATTAAATAAGAATAGAAGAAAAGGTTAGTCAATTTCACTTGTTATTTGCATTATTATCTTCATTAAATAATCAAAATATTAGTAGCTTATACTAGCATATTTTATTAGTAACATTATGAGCTCAATAAAAATTTATTTTTATTGGGAAGTGAAAAATATACAATAGAAATTGGAAAACTCGTTTAACCCTATATTTTCATATCGTATCATAATTTTACCCCTGACGAAACCAGTCAGTTCATTTTGTTAACCAAATACAAAGAGATTAATGTAATACGTGAAATTAACTCGTAAGTAACGCTACATTAATTTCTTTAACCATTTTAATACGATATAACATTTTGATGAGATGTTCCTTCGCAAGTGGTGATGTCGAGTACCATACCGGACTATCCGGTACACAACTGCGCTCTGGCAATAAGTAGAAAACGTCGTTACGAGTTTTAACGCTTTCAGGGCTGAAATATTTCAGATACAAAACATTAGTGGTATCGAAGTCGAGGTGTAATATGACTTTAGTAGAAAAATTTTTATATTAAATAATAAAGATGGTATAAAAGTTCTCAAATAACACAATTGATGCAATATAAAAGGAATCTAAGTCATAAATATCGTAAACATTTTTTTGCAATTTTTTTTAAACGATCTGTCAATCTTCACACGCAAGCGTTTCGTGTCACTTTAAATCTTCTTCAATAGCGCAGCTAAATTACTTTCAATATTTAATTATTCTTAATATACATACACACCATTTTGACAAATAGAATTCGTACAGTTTGACAGGACATCTCAATGGATCTTCTTCATTTTCCTGCTGCTCATACACCTTCTTTTTCCTCGAATTATTTTCTTTAAAAATAAATTCTATGATTGACAACACAATATGAATCGTATATTACATTATTTTCATAGAATATAATTAGTAAATCGAAACCTACCAAGGGCCGATTGTGGTGGATAAAATCGTAGAAGAACATTTCTCGGCGCTTTCCCTGTCACTGCTGTACTAGCTTGAGCTGCTGGATTGCGTTTCCAATGTTTCATAATGTGCGAAAATGACAGTTGCATGTGTTCTTCTACCGTCTTGAAAAATAGTGATATACGTTTAAAGACTGTTTATTAATAATATATTGCGATAAAGAGTTGATCTTTATCAGTCGATAGGTGGACTTACCACGAGATTAAAATGTTTTGTATTGAAAAACATAAGTGTACTTAACAACACATGCGGAGAATGTGCACCTAATTGTTTGCACTCCCACAAGTGTTCTTCTTCCACTCTGGTTACAATGTATTCTACAAAATGAATGATATCTTGATGACTCAGAAGGGCAAGATAAAAACAACAAGATACTTACGTGCTTCATTGTAAAGCATGGAAAACTTTTTCGCGACTTCATTTAGACAGTCTGTAAACTTCTCGTAGTAAGAATCCGTGAATATGTTGTCGATCCTATTATTTTCAAACAAGTACTGCTGTATCCCTAAAGAGAGAATGAAAAAACCATTTTATCCTGACTCTCTTAATTTATAAAAAACACTTTTGAGTGTGACATGCTTATGATGAGTAACACTCATCGTTGAGTGTCATGTAAAAAGAAAAAAAATTACCTAGACAAAGATAGTATATCGTATCGGGAGCGTACTCTGCACCATTCGGCTTCTTTACTTCTTTTACGAAAAGACACAAGGAATAATTCAATTCGTCTGCAGTAAGTTGCAGGAGATCTGTCTTGAACAATTTAATCTTTCTCATTGGTGTAATTTGCTTTTCTAATTCGGCATTTTTTCCTATAACCTAGTAAGTTTACAAATAAATGCTTATAAATATTCTCGTTTTACCATATCGTACGTGAACGTCGTAAATGAAAACGATGTTATTTACCCATTGCCTCCATGCATTTACGCCGAATGTATATTTCAATGTCATATTAGCGTCGGGCTTTTCTATCGGCTCTATGATACGCGGTTGCGGAGGCGGTTGCGGCTCCGGTGGTGGCATTAATGGTATGTCGTTTGTACCAGATACTCGTCTGGCTCGTTTAGCCGATGCTGATCGTGGTTTATATGACGCCATACGTTTCCTTCCTCTAGAAGTAGTGATTAATCGTTCCGATTGTACTGAAAAAAGTGCACACATATAACTTATTAAAAAAACAATTCATTATTACTCAACTTTTCGAGGATATTTAAAGAAAAGTCAATATGTGTATTATTAGATTCTTTATGTATGCATTGACTCTCTAATTATTGATGTAGATATATGCTCGCGTCTACTTATTTTAAACAACATGACTCATATTCAGAACTCTCTTTTATTGCTAAAAGCGTCTATAAAAGTGACTTATATTCATAATCAAAAGCCACGCTTTCAGCGATAAAAGAGAGTTCTGAATATAGGCTTATATATTATACGTATTATACCATCATTATCCATAGTAGCTTCTGCTTGTGATGGTGGTTGCGTAGCTGTGATCGTGTTTGGCGTCAATGCAGCCTCCAAGTCAACTGCAGGTTCATCTAACTCTCCCGTAGCCATTTTTAATGCCATTTGTAACATATCGTCGCCAAAAGTATTACTGGAATCAACTGCCTCTGGACTGAAACCATCACTATGTAAATTGTCTTGATCAGCTGTGTCACCATCCCTAGACAAAAATGTATGCTTTTGGTGCGTGAGATAAAAAGAACACAATGATATCACTGTGCAATGAAATATGATATCGATATTTTTGAAATTAAACAATTGGACAATTACCTGTCATCTACTGAATCCGAATCGCTGTCGTTAGTTTTCTTCTCAGTAGCTACCATCTCCGCCATCATGAGTAGTTCAGCTTCATACGGATCGGACGGTATTTTCTCTTGTATTCTTTTTATGTCCTTCATGATTCCCTTGGCACTGTTTCTTGTAGTAGGTATAAAGAGGGGAATGGGAATAGGCAGTGGGAAAGGCACTGGGACTGGGAAAGGCATGCTATACATGTGCACGGGAAACGGAACGTAGATCGGCACCGGTATGGGAATCACAGCTTGTTGAGGGCTCTTTGTTTGCGTCCACTTCGTGCAAGGATGTGGGCGTACAGAGACGCCCTTCGTGTGCACGACAGGCTTGCACTGAGTCGTTTTGTTGTGCACCTTCACCGGACTGGGCGGCCTAGTGATGACTTGCTGCTTGTAGACGATCGGCGCCGTTTGTTGCGATATAGTGCTTGCGGGCATGACAATGTTATTCTGCTGAGTATTAGGGCTCGTCTGACCATTCCCTATCGTGGCTAAACTCGTCACCGATGAAATCACCGGCATGGTTTTCTTAGTTTGTACTTCGTTGGACTTCTGCACGGTTTGACACCCGATCTTCTGCGGTATCGTCCTTTTCGGCACACCCGTAGGCACGGGATCGTCGCTGGACGGTATAGTTATCGGAGATTTCGTGTACTGCGATTGAAAGTTCATCACACAATTGTATGAGCAAAAATTACGTATTGTCGCGTCCGACATTGTGAGATGGTAGTGCGCCAGAGAATACTCCTTGCAAAAATCACAATTGATCCGTTTTGCAGACACTGCATTGATGGAAACCTGAAAGAAATTTTTTGTTATCTATGCTTGTTCAGAATATAACTATATAAGAGTACGTAATGTGAATGTTGTACCTGATACAATGTTAAACAATTTAAACTGCACATCATCAGGATCGGTCCCGACTTCAGTTCCTTTTTGATCATATCAAAGTTGTATTTCTTTACTTTACACCAGTTACATGGCACTATCTTCCTATTTGTTATGATAAATATATTCAAGCATGTTTTGTTACAAAATGTGTGCGGTTCATTTTCGTAAAATACGACGAAATTCTGCTTGTTCGGCAATTCAAAAAATTTCTTGCATGTCGAACATAATTCGGGTTTGACTTGTTTTACAAATTTAAATGCAGCGAAACAGGGCTCACTGCATATAGCTACTGGCGAGCTATTGTATATTTGGACCTCGCAATGTACAGGTTTTACCTGTAAAGAGATTTGCTCCACTTAATAATAATTTACGACATACATACGGGGAAAGTGTTGTACAAAATGAGGGAATGATCATACCTCTTGACAAACACTGCAGGGTTTTTTCTCCATAGAGGGTGGTTCTGCGGAGTTCAATTTCGAATATTTTTCCATGCAATCTTGAGTACAGAAATCTTTAAATTGCCCTTTTTCGCCGACCGGCGCGAGAAAACCATCTGTGCTAAGGCTTATGTCCTTCTGACAGTAACTGCACACCTTCAATCCCTTTTTAAATTCCTCTAGACACGTCGAGCAACAAAATTGTCTCACATCACATCCAAATCTCACGCAGTATTTACCTAAACTCACAGCTTGCACTATGCCATTGCAATTCTTACAATAACTTCCATATTTTCTTTGAAACTTTCCCAGACATTCTTCATTGCAAAATTCCATGGTTTCCCAAGAAAGATTTCGTTCGTCGTTTGCCTCTACGATTAGTAAACAAGTTGCGCAACGTTTTTCTCGTTTGCAGGATCCATCAAGATGACTCCCACTTGGTATATCTACCGATTTATTGTTGGCTGCCTTAAACAATACCTTACATGTCTTGGAGCATACATTATAATTTTCCGAACCGATCTTCACTCGAATTTTACACATTTTTTCTTCGTTACACTGCTTGCATACCTCTTTGAAAGCAATTTCCTCTATTTCCTCTGAGTTTTTCGACTCGTCGTCGATATTAATAACATCCGTTGCTTTGGCTACATTTTCTACCGCCTCTGTGTCTTGATTTTCGAAAGTAATCGCACTCTCTGTACTACTGTTTGTATTTTCTGTATCTACTGACTTGATTTCGTCTTGTGTAACATTTTTGACAGTGTCAGAATCAGACTTGCTACTGTTTTGTGCCGCTTCATCGCGCTTCGCGTCCTGTGCAACTACAGATTCGCTTTGCTCAGTCTCTATTGCTTTTACCGATTTGTCTGGTATTATAACTTTCATACTATCTGGAATAATGCACAACTCATCATCCTGTCCTGGTAATACATTAGTTTGGTCCACATCTGTTTCCACTGGCGTAACTTCTTCGATATTCTTTTTTGCCTGTTCATCTTGATCTTTGGTTGATTTTATAGGTGATGTGGTTCTTGTGTCTGTTTTGGATGTATTATCGTTCGTTAGGTCGGTTTCCATTGGTGTATTTACAAGAGAATCGGTAGTGTTTTGTATATTATTTGGTGTCTCAACAGTACTGTCCACAACTTTGTTGACAGCAGCATCCTTTGGGTCGTTTGACGTACAGTTAACATCAAGTTTCTCATTACATTTCTCATCACTTTTAGCACTTACTGCATCCTGTAAATTATTATCTTGCTCATATATATTTTTAAAGCTAACTTCACCCTCAGCGAGATCCTCGACTTCCATTTGCTCCACATTTTCAGAAGCAAGGTTATCACCACCAAATGGATCTTCTGCATCCATAGAGTGATTTTCAATTTGAGTATCATCCTGTTTTTCATGAGAAATTTGTACAAATTCTGTATTCTCAGGTTCAACATTTTTTTCAGGCACAGAACAATCTTTGTCAGGATTTTCTAAATTACTATCTGAAGACTCTGGTTCTTTTTGAGACATTTGCACATCACCTGCACTAACACTCGACACATTAGGAATATCACAATCCTTATCTTTTTCTTGAGTAGATGCTTCCGGTTCACTAGCAGCATTATCATTGGAAGACTTGAAACAATCTTTTGCTGTACTATTTGCATCCTTATATGAAATCTCAGTATTTGACACATTTTCTATATCACATGCTTTTGTTAAATTTGATATATCTGATGTTGACTCTTTTGCATTCTCTTGCTCTTCTTTATTTGCATTAATTGATATACTTTTCTCACAAGAACTTTCAACTGCATCATTTTCTCGGGATGTTACAACTTCAGTATTTTCCTCAGATGATGGTTTTTCAATATTAGTATTATCTTCTGTTATCGCGATTTCTAAACATGTTGTATGATTACTTGTTTTCGTATTTGGAATAAAATCTTCTTCAATAGTTGCCGCTTCAGAAGTTGTTTCTTTGTCCGCTTCACATAATTTATTATCTATTTCTTGTGTAACCTCTTTGTCAGGTTGTGATTCTTCAGTTTCTTTGTTTTCTTCTAATACTTTTTCAATACTACTTTCCATATTGTCCTTATTTTCAGAATTATTTACAATTTCTTTTTGAGATATATCAGATTCCTCTGATAATGTCAATTTCTTGCATTCCATAATTACTTATATATTAGTCCTTATGTTTATTTCTTGTATATCTAGAAATGTAACATGGTAAAATAACTTTTTGTTCATTGTATATATCTAGATTTATAATAAAAGTACAAAAGTTAACAAAAGTTACAGAAATCCAGGGTTAATATGAAATTATACTAATTACAAAAGGCGAAAGTTTTAATATAAAAATATTCAAGATTATTACCGCATATTTTAATATTTTTTACTGAAAAACATGAGAATGACGTTTATAATTAAGTAATGAGCAGTTCGAAAATTCTGGATAATATTTTGCTTACAAAACAAATGAACAATAAACTAAAAAAAATTGCAAAAGAACCTATATTAATGAAGCAAGTATTTTATACAATATGGTGACGATATATCATTCGCGAAATAATATTAAAAGATCATATGTGAAAAATATCAAGGTTAAGACTCGTTGAATCGCCATATTCTATCTTTTTCTTTCTCACTCTTTTTACCTACCTGCTGTTTCGGTTGTCGAAATGTCGAATTAAACTTTAACGAAACTAAGCGTCAAAGATAGATTGTGTATCAGATAACCTTATATCCATAATCACTGTACATGGACGTAATGAAAACACAAATTTTATTCCTACTCTTCAAAGAGATAGCGGCAGATGCGACGTTGTTGATTACCCATCGAAACGCGCTCACAGGGATGGCCGCGAGACGTGTAAAAAAAGGAATCGAGCGTGACTGTCGAAATCTCTCGGCCGGTTCTCGTTACAAATCACTTCGGGACATTAACACGGAAGCAACACGGTTGGAGTGTTTATGAGTCTTGAAATACCGATGACCGTGGGCGGTAAACCGCTTCACCCAGAAGATTCCATTAGTAGAAAATTTGACCGCCCGCACTGCTCGCTCCGAAGGATTGTTAAGACTGTTATGCATGAAACAAACGAAAGGGTGCGTTCAGATTCTCTAGCCGGGTGCACGGGCTTAAAGCCCGTGTCACACTACGGATTGGAGATAGAGGATTGCGGATTGAAAATTGGAACATGACCAATTAAAGCCAAACAGGCCAAGATTTGGCCCATGGACATAGTATATATGGACTCCGAATCAATCATATATGTAATACTACTATATTGCTCTATGTTGCCTGTAAGAGGAGCTTGTACCGGAATGGAAGGACAAATGATGGGGAGCGGTGCACTTGGACAAGGTGCATTTGGACACAGCCAATCACAGCACCGTATGATTAGAGAATTTGTAGGGTCCCTTGGAACAACGACTTGTGATTGGACTGTGTCCAATTGCCCCATGTCCAACTGATATACACCTCAAATGATGTCCGAGGAGTGTATTTTGACCGTAGTGCGCAGGCGCGGCGATCAGATGATGTTATATATATGTATAAAGGATGCGTTCGGGGAGCACGCTACCAACGCTATCGTGATTTTCTATCGTGATTTTCTATCTTTATCGGTCCTTAAATGTACAACAAGGATAGAATAATACCCGAACGCACCCAAAGTAAAAGTGCCAGTGCGTGACATGTACCTTAACTTGTGGTCTGTTCTTTTCAGCTGACTGCTGAACTGGTGCAATAAGTTAGAGTGAGAAAACATATACTTATCTCACTTTAACTTATTGCACCAATTCAGCAGTGCAGCTGAAAAGAACGGACCACTGGATAGCTGCTTCCTTACTTGTGTAAACTGATATTTTCATTTGTAGCTGCTTTTTTCGCATAAATAGTATCTCCGGATGCTTATGTTTATAGCATATGGTATAAGTAACCTAACATGCAACAATATGGTATATATAACCTATTACATGCAACTTTGTATATTTTATTTTCCCATTGGTGGATACGATCTATCTGACGTATGCACATAACGTTCATAATACACTCAGAAAGAGAGAGAAATATATATTCCCGCATTGTAGTCGGACTTCTCTCTCATTTAGCAATATAGGGCGCGTTCTATTGCAGGCAACGCTTGCGAGCGTCATTCTATCTTTGTTGCTCGTAGATGTTAAACAAAGATAGAGTGACGCTCGCGAGCGTTGCGAGTGTGTAACGGAACGCGCCCATAGTAGTATTATATATATGGAATCAATGACATATATACATAAACCAAGGGTGCATTCCTTTATTTATTGTGAGTACGGACGTCATGAAAGTATACTACTAGTAGCTTTCCGTTTTAATTTCGAACACTGTCGAGGTGCTGCAAGATGACAAATGGGAACAAATGGGAGCAGTGGCAGTAAAGCCCGTATCAGACTACGGATTAAGATTGAGATTGAATTGAAAATTGGCCAATCAGAGTAAAGTTCACCAAACTTGAGCTTAGTGAATTTTGTTCTGATTGGCTAATTTTTAATTCAATCTCAATCTTAATCCGTAGTCTGATACGGGCTTTAGGTGGTGCGTTCCCATTTGTCACCTTGCAGCACCTCGACAATGCTCGAAGTTAAAATGGAACGCTACTAGCAGTATACTTTCATGACATCATAGCGTCAGTACTCGCAGTAAATAAAGGAACACATCCAAAGCATTCTGTCCGCAAAGTGAAGCCGGGAGTTGGCAGTTTAAAACAGAGTTGATTTGCCTCTAGTGTTTTCTCACTCTTTCTTATTGACTATCAAGAAGGAAGATCCGTTTAACACTGCAAATACTTTAAATAAAGCAATGTGATTGATCCATTCGTCGCTCTGAAGCACTTACAGCATTAAATGGAACTATTTACAACACTAAACCTTATCCAAGAACTGTATCCCATCATAGCAACTTAACCTTTTTCATTTTACAGTGGAATGAGAACAGGATAAAAGCAATTGCTATGATTATTTATACACAGCATAAAATATTATAAATATCAATTTTATATCGAGATAAGTAAATATATGGTTTTATTCTTTTAATTCTGCACTAAATTATATATAATTAATTTAATTATAAATTATTTTATTATAAATTATATATAATACACTTGACAGCTTGACAGCGGCCATTTTCTTTCTATACGATAGAATGAGAAAGCACTAGGGGCAAATCAACTTTCTCACTTTGGTTTAAACTGCCAACTTCCGGCTTCATTCGCTGCTACAGCAGAAGTATAGGAATGCTTCGGATGCGTTCCTTTATTTACTGCGAGTACTGACGCTATGACGTCATGAAAGTATACTACTAGTAGCGTTCCGTTTTAACTTCGAGCACTGTCGAGGTGCTGCAAAGTGACAAATGGGAACGCACTTTCTTATTGCCACTGCTTTACCTCTAGCTGCAATAGTCGCAGCAGGAAGTGACATCAAAATTCAGACATCACAAACTCGTCGAAGTGCTTTTGCAGTGCACTGTAACCTATTTAGGAACGCTGTTGATAGTACTTGCAGTAAATAACGGAATGCAGCCCAAGTCTATAGGCGGTATTCATAGTCGAATCTTATTTCAAGACCGTCTTAAGTAATGTCTTAAGATGCAATACGGCTCTGTGATTGGTTCATGACATCTTAAGACAGTACTTAAGATGATCTTAAATATAAGATTGGACTATGAATACCGGCCTATGTATATACGTCATTGGTCTTAAGATGCGGCTCCAATGGTCCGTAACATATCCGTATCTATAACCATAAACAAAATCGAGTCGTGATTGATCGTGATATATATCACGAATTTCTTATATATAATATAATCTTTGAATATATCTTTAAATTTGTCAAATTCTGGTTTTTAACGCAAATGATCGAAATAATGGCTACGTTTAACAGAAAAAGTCGTTCTACATTAGTTGTAAGTCGAAAGCAACTTTTGTTGCGACAGCCAATCAGAAGTGTCAATAGCACCATTGATGCTTCTGATTGGCTGTCGCAATAAGAATTGCATCTATTTGCGATCGGTTTGCAACTAATGTAGAACGACTTAAAAAGCTGTTGGCAGCAAAATGCAAAGCTCTTTTCCACTGAACGTAACCGATCATTCGCAAATAAATGACACACGACATCGGCGTTATTTCTTCCTCGCTCGCTGTAACGTCAAAAGCCGAACCTCTCGAAATTATATTAATTCTAATTCTTGTTCACGAGACAACAATCAGCGAAATAAGCGGAAGAAAGTGCACAATTCAAACGAGTGAGCGTAATAAATGTGGTTATCGTTGAATAGCGGTCGACGTCGCTATTGAGATGCGTTCGGAAACATCATCTGGGTGCTCTCCCTCTCTCTTTATCTTACTCTAGTATCTCTTTTACTCCAATGCAGTGGTTGCACCGGGTGACGTTTTCGAACGCACCCTTGGACGAGCGTTCAGAGGCGTTTATACGAATTTTGCGATATCTCACAATAATCCCTAGTATTTACAAACATTCGCGATTTCAGGGCCGTGACGAATGTGTCCGCGACATTACGGGTTCGCCCAATCTCGATATTTGCTTGTGGAGTGTAAGCGCGTCGAGAAGAAGGCAAGGAAAGGACGGCGGACGAGTTCAATGACCGCATGTTTGAGCAGTTGTGTATTTTGTACTGGCAATTTGCTTCGTGATGAAGATGGTCGACGTTTCACTCTAAAGAGGTATTCGAGGCTCATCCCGTTCGAAGACAATGTCATCATATCACTTTTTGACGTTACAGCGTGATCACAGCGAAAATTCGTGACTAATCTGCTCCGTGAACTTGAGAAGATTCTTTTGGAATAATAACAAAGTGATACAGCAGTCCAACGTAGTCTAGCATCTGTCACGACAATAGAAGCCAACTGGACGATTTGCTTCGCACTCGGCTTCGAACACGGCGTCGTATAATTAACGAATATCGAAATAAGAAAAAAAATATTCCGAATTGTGTACATCGCTGTTTTCGCTGGTAGTAAACGGGTATTACATGGCAATCGTCACCGAAAAGCTGATAGCCAAAAACGTTCGTTGACTTGAACGGATTTAAGAAATAAACATGAAAAGCGATAGACACATGCGATAGAAGTAAACACAACAAGGTGACACACAACAAGGGGAGGTGACAAGGACAACACGTGCGATTCTGATATAAGGAAGAAGGGGGAACGAAGAGGAGGAAGGATAAAAGAAGAGGTAGTAGTAGTAGTAGTAGTAGAAGCAGCAGTATAGTGTCGGACAACACATGGACAGTTAAGCCACGGCACTGGGTGGCGGTACGTGACGTTACGTTGCAGTGCGAGGAAGTGATTGAGCCAAGATTATACGCGCGTTGTAAGCAGAACGAGAGGTGTGCAGAGAGGCGAGTCGAAAGAACGAGTGCGCGCGTTCATGCGTGCAACAATACACACGTCTCTCGCGAGGTGTTTACAGCGCGTTGTCGCGCTCGTCTCGTCATTCTGTACGCGGGTGTTGTTGAAGGAGCACCGCACTTTCCGGTTCGTGTCCGGACTGTGCCGCATTTGTCCGTGATTCTGGAGAGATCGCTCTTGAACATCGCTGTTTCTACTATCGCGGCAAACGCACGCGCGACCCTCCTCCCGAGGACGAGGACGTCGCGTCGTTGATCATTGTTACGGACAGAGGAGGAGAACGAAGAAAATGGCCGACAGTTGGATTAACAGTGTTGTTTGCCGGTAAGGGAACGTAACGGACCGACGACGGCTCGCGCGTCCTTGCGAATCTCACTGGGAATCTCGTCCGGGCATTCCCGCCTGACGTCGTGATCCGATCGTTTCTCGTGAGGAGAGGTTAACAATGTCGATCGCGTATGTGGAGATATTCACCGTTCAGACGCGAATTAAATGAATACAACAATATAAATATTATCGATGACTCGCGCGTGGGATTGTCAATGCCAGTGTGAAACTGTCGACGACTTTGAGTTCCATGTTTTCGAGTCGTCCTCTGTCTCACACACATACACACACACACACACACACACACATACATACATACACACGTGCGCGCATCAATAATTCCCCATTTTGTATCTCGTCGCGTTGCAATAACCGTCGCACTTTCGTCTCAGATACTTCAAAAACGGCGTCTGTCGCGAAGGCGGCAACTGTCGATTTCGACATATACAAGGGACCAGAGATGACACAGATGTCAATACTGCTGAGACAACACCGTCCGGACCAATCTTCAATGTCACATGTCGCTTCTTCAAGCAAGGAATATGTAGGTTTGGGAGTCAATGCCACTTTCGACATAGTGCAAACGGTTCCGATAGTAATGCCAAACAAAGCAATTCAGTGGAGAATTCTGTCTCGGCCCAACACACTGCGAGCTCTTCGAAAAAGGGGTAAGTTCAAGTGTATATTATTTATTTCAACGTATTCCTTTGCCTTCTTGCTTCTTTCCTTTTTCTATTACACATTGAATATTAATCATTTATTGCCATAAACATTAAAATAACTAAATTATAACTTATATACAAACATATAACGTATATAATTATTGATCCATTTTATTTTCACTCATTGTACTTTCTTTACTTTTATTTAACTCTTTCACCACCAATGGAATATATGTTTTCTTCATCATTAATAATAACTTTATTCAATGAAATAAACAACTTCTTTGGTATTCAGATCAGCTATCACCTAATACTATTAAGATAAATATATTTTCCCAAAACTTCAGTCAACTATCAGTATCCTAGATCTATTACTTTGGCAGCAAATATAAAACTTAATTTTTTTTGGCTAAAACTATGTTATATTAAGCAAGGTCTACGACTTACGACTCTACAATTTCTATTGTAGATCCTGCTTTAATGTATATTTAAGAAGTGAAGGTAAAAGAAATTGTACCTTTAAAAAATAAAATTGATAGAGTGAATTTTTCTATTTATTACTTCTTTTTCATGATTTCATGATTTAACATTTTTATCAGTTTTAACCTCTGCATAATTAAACAAAAACTTAATATTACCTATATAGTTTACTATATATATGTATATTTCCTCAATTATTAATTTATTATATTACTTTATTTATTATTTATTACTGAACTGTGTGTGTGTGTGTGTGATCCACTACTAATTATTAAATCTTTATTTATTAAATCATTAATTGTCATAATATTTAAACTGAAAATTGAGCAACTAAAATCAAAACAAGTTCAAATATGTATTTTTTTATAATAAGTATTGTTTTAATTTTCTCTCATAGCGTTATGTTTGCAATATTCTAAATGACAACAGATGATATATTTAAATTTGGTATCTTTAATGGCTATATTTCATTGAAGTGTGATTTGATTCATTATAGGAATAATGAGAAACGTGCTGCTGAAGAATGGGTGAAAGCACCCGAGTTTGTACCTACAGTTGTGCCTCCTGTTGCTGGATCATCTTCTTCTGCAGATGAAGTATTTACTTCGGGAACATCTACAAGCACATCAAAACCAGCATCATATGCTCAAGCTGTTAATCCATCCGGCCAAGCCTCGAGTCCTGCTTTAGAACCTTTGTGCCCATTTGCTGAAGCAACTGGAATCTGCAGAAAATTGAACTGCACATATCTACATGGCGATATTTGTGAATTCTGTAATTGTGCGGCTCTTCACCCTCACAATGAAGAACAACAGAAGAAGCATACAAATGTAAGTTTTGTCAACTTATGCTCAGCTTTGTCATTGTTGATTAAATCTTGAGCTGAATTTAAGTTACCTTCAGATAAATACTTAAACTCATAAGGTTTAATCAGTGTTTAAGGTTGTTGGTGGAATTGGGTTTTATTCAGTTACATTACATATTAGTGGAGTGAAAGTTTGTGCGAGTATATTGTGTGTGTCAGCTTATCATTTAATGTTAGTCACTATCATGAGTGACTAATAGATTAGTAAGAGAATGTTTCATATGTTTAGTAAGAGAGTTAGTAAGAGAATGTTTGATATGGGATAGTTTGTAAATTTAAGGAAAAGAAATGCTATTTGATGTGTTGTTACTTCCTTAGGCATGTGTGAAACAGCACGAAGCAGATATGGAATTATCCTTTGCTATACAACGCAGCAAAGAGAAGTCTTGTGGTGTATGCTTTGAAACAATAATGGAGAAGTCGTCACGAGAGCAAAGGTTCGGTATTCTGCCGAATTGTAATCATTGCTTTTGTTTAACTTGTATCAGGAAATGGCGGCAGGCAAAACAATTTGACAATAAGATCATAAGGGCATGTCCAGAGTGTCGTGTTCCATCAGATTTTGTCTGTCCCAGCATGTACTGGGTGGACACGAAGGAAGAGAAGGAAAAGTTGATAAAGGATTATAAAGGCGCTTTGAGGTATAAGTTTTTACATCGCAAATATAAGTCTGTTCCGTTACCCTCATTTTCATGAATGTTTGTTAAAGTACTAAGGATTGCAAGTACTTCAACAAAGGTCGTGGTAAATGTCCATTTGGTAATAAGTGCTTCTATCTGCACGCGCTTCCGGATGGTACTAAGAAAGATGTTGGTCCACCACGGAGACGTCATGCCGATTATGATATCGATTTTTTACACGTAAGTTGTTCATTTCTATATGTATGCATATGATAATACACATTATTACATCTACATTTAGTATTTATGTATATAAATATATATATATATATATATATATATATATATATATATATATATATATACACACATACGCAAATGCGTGTTTTGTATGAAATTTTGAAACAAAGAAACAAACTACATATTTTTCGAATGAAGTAATTGAATAGTTTCATCATGTAATATATGTTAAATTTTGGCGTACACAAATATATGTATATTTGTATATTTGTGTGGTGTATGGTGGTAAGTGAAAATAATTATATACAATTTGCAGCAATTAATTTTGTGGGATTTTCTCGAAGAAAGAGACGATCGCTGGATGTACCTTGATTTAGAAGAAATCCCGTTTTTCTCTGATTCGGATGATTCCGATTGGTCTGATTATGAGCTGTCCTTCGACTAGAACAATAGAGCTAGTCGGGTCGTATTGCCCTTATCAGATCACTGATATCGTATTGGGGTTCGACCTTTAGCCACTCCCTTTATTCTTTACCTTCATCTTATCCTTTACGGGCGTATTATATGGCGGCGGGAAGAATTACTGCATCTCAAATAATTTTGAATAATTATAATACGAAGACATTTTAGATACGTCAGTACTTTATTTTAACTGGAATGCGTATGGATGTCTAGCACACTGTAAGTGATACCGATGCTGTCTGTAGTGCGGTTGAATTTTCTTTGGAATACTTTGTAAACCAACTGTCGCATAATGTAATTTAATTTCCGCAGTCGTCGCATAATATTACGTCGTATAATATTACGGCGTATAATTACGTTGCATAATTACCGCATAATTACCTCGCATAATAAACACTGCATTAGTTTTCTGGAAAAAATTTGAAATTTTTATGGGTACCTTCAAATATTTTAAATATATATATATATTTATATATATATATTTATATATATATTTATATATTTATATACATATATACATATGTTCTTTTTCAACAAAGATGAAATTTTTTAAAATTAGTGCTATTGTGAGATATTAGATACTGTGTCATGTATGAAGTATTCATAAGAGTTTCCAATACATTCTGAGAAATTTTGATAGCATTATGATACTTTTGTGTTTTCATGTATTCTCAAAACGTTCGCATGTACTGCAAATAGTATCGATATTATTTAGAGTTTGTTTGATACCATCCACACTTGTTATTTTATGAGAATCAAGGACAACGAACTTATTATGGCAGTTTTTTTTTGTTATTTAGCTTGATCGGAATTGTCCAGTATGCATTCCAGTTAAAATAAATTGAACTGAGCTATATAGAAAAAGAATGAAAAGAGAACAAAATAATAATTCATACGCAAAGAATGTACAATAAGTGGTTATGCAGTTTTACTAATAATCGCGGCGCATAGTTGAAAACAAAAAGATGACAGGATATCAATACGGACGGTAGTGATAGTTTTGTTGGTAATGCATTGCAAATACAGAATCACCTTCTTCGTGCGTCTTGACCATGCTGTGCTAACTGTTAATTATTATAGCAACTATTATTATTATTATTTTTATTATTATTTTTGTTTTAAATTTTTTCAATGAATAATATACATATACTGATCATTTTTCGACGTTCTTTTTTTTATAGAATAATATTGATCCGCTTTTGTACACTCGATATTAATTAATAATTATTACGCTTTTCCACGATAGTCTAGAGAAGTTAATCTACACATAAAACCAAGTTGTAAAATAATCATTATAACCGGTATTTGTTACAATTAACGGGTAAAATTGTTTGCTTTTCTTGATAATATGCAGTTTTCAAGTATATGGTCAAGTATATCGAGATGGTTATGTTAAAAAAAGTGTTATTGTAGTCTTAATACATTTTTTGGTCAACGCTTAAGCATTTTTTAGTTTACGAGATTTAGATCTAGATTTGCTTAGGTTTAGATTCTCCGTAATTTCAATAAATCATTTTTATGATAACTTATCATTGTTATCGAAATATGATCGGATTCTTGCGGTATGAACAAAAAAGAAAATTACTACGATTTGTGTGTCGATATGGAATTTAAACTATACAACGTATATAGTGTAAATTACCGTTTGAATCGATTATTTCAATTTGTAAGAAATATATATATATATCTCTCCTTAGAATGAGCATGTTTTGTAATTGCAATATAACTTCGTGTTGAAAAATAAAATCGATTCGAATCTTTTATCGCGTTTGTAAATATAATGAAATTATGACGTAGCCATTGGTAAAAGCCAAATACGCGCTATATCTAACAGTGGTCTGTTAAATTTGTTCATTTATCCTTTTAAATAAGCTTTATATATTATTGAAGCAATTACAAAACATGCTATTTAGCCTATTTTATGCTACTCGTCGATATAGAGAGACGATAACATTATTACTTACATGTAAAATATACAGAAAAACCGGACAACGATTTATTACATGTGTGATCAGTGTGCATTGTTAGTTCAATTATCACTAGTTCATATCGAAGGTACGATCCACAATTGTCGTCCTACCTCTTGCTATGGCTCCGCGAATCTTTAATACATTTCTTTAAATTATTACAGTTATATAGCGTTACTCGTGAATAAGTATTCCTAAGACCTCTGAGAGCAAATGTGCACAGTGGATGTAACATATGTATAAGAATATTTTGCATGAGTGTGACAATGTTCGTATTTGTGTGTAAGTGCGAATGAAGTAAAACATTTGCGAGCAAGAGACAGACTACCAATAGCATATATAGATTAATTATAATAATAATAATAATAAATGTAACAAGAAGGTCGCTTTCCGTCAAGAGTACGCACTTGTAGATTCAGCGTTTAAGAAAGCAATTAGGGAAGTACGCACGACGGAGTTGGACCCACGGCATAGAGCCATCTGAGAATCATCAACGTTTATACATTTTATCGATTTACTTAATAATAGCGACACCGTTTCGATAGCCGTTTTCTCGATATAGAAATACGACATAATTACGCTTTGGAGGGCACAGAAATTCTCTTCTGTAAAACTGTTAAAGCCGACAAGATGAGATACGAGCGAATAGAGATAAGCACCAAAGAGAACACGATATTTATCCTTCTAATATCGGATATTTCGCGAGAAATCTTTCTTTGACTTACCGCTGAATGATCCTTCCTGAGCATATCGATAACAACTAATATCGCGGTGTTATATAATCATACAGAGAGTTTCTGCTCACATTTGCAATCTTTTTCGTACTCACGGTAGAGGAAGTGATCGGTTTTTACAGCGGAGAGTCGTCGGTACTGCCTTCAAAAGCTATGTGATTATAGATTAATATATCGTTCATCGCTATAAGTCAGTGTCTTAATCCGTGTCAACAAGCGTTTTATCGGATCGATCTTTCACACTATACTGAATATCGTTTACATTTACCATGGAATTTCTATGCTGTTAATTTTATCGATAATTGTTAGTATAAAACGCTTATTGTTACCCGGTAATATTTATATAAAACTTCTATGGTAGGAGCTATGTGTTTCGAGCGGCTATTTTTGGAGCTACTTTCTTCAACAATCGTGAAACTTCCTGATGAGAGGAAGGAAAAATGTATTAACGCTTGAAAGAATTTAGGAAGAATGCATGATTTTATTCGGGTTATTGACGGGATATAACGAGTATTAAAATGATATTCTTAACATTTCAGTGTCATTCTCAGGATGGTTTCGTTAAGTTAGTTTAAAAGTTATTAGAATTTACAGAACAGCTTGTGCGTTGTGTCTTCGTGTGCAGAATTCAATCACCAAGATAAACGTAGCAAATGTACATTAATACGAATTGATTGTACTAAACATACCACATTGAATATTGTATTATATAGCGACGTATATTCTTTCTTCTTTAACGACCTAAAATACGCTTCATAAATCGTTATGTAGTTTATCATTTACATAACACGCGTTAAACGCTTCAAATATTTTTCTTTTTTACTTTTCCTCTTATTTTTTTTGTTTCTTTCGCTCATGGTATACATAATTCTTTATAGGATAATATTATGCTCATTATATCAATTTATTTTTAGCACGTATTATTTATTTTTATCTCGTATTAAACGAATATTTTATTATGTGGAAATTAGAAAGTAGGAAGCGTGTTAAATTTTAAGGGAGACAATTCGTTGATGTTGTCCCGAAATCCCTATACGTAATTAAACCTTATATTTTTGTAACTTTTTTTTTTATCGAGTTACGCGTGTTTACATTATGATGTAAAGACTCCGTACTGCAGATTGATATAGTGATATATAAATGAAAATCTGATTTGATATATAGAAAGAGCGCTCCACTGTGGAAAAGTAAAACCGAAAGCATTGTTGTGCCAGCTTATTTCTTATGTCTTTAATAGACTCAGATTATTGTGAATGAATTTTTAACCAATAAATACGTAGATCTCAAGCTAATTGTATTTTCCCTACATGATGTATAGGAAATCAAAAGAGAGAACGAACTTGTACATTTGCATTGTTACGTGTGTTTCATTCTTGTTAATTTCTCATTGATTAGTTTTATTCCTTGACACACGATGATGACGAAGCTGTTGCCATAATATGCTTTTGTTTTATTATGTTTCATTATTAGCGCGCGATCATTTTATAATAAGTATACTGTGACAGAAATAATGTTTCCTATGTTACCGACCTAACTATACCGACGGATGTTAAATCAGTATGTTCGTTATTATTGCAAAGTATAGAGGGCGACTGCAGTACTTCATTAGCCGTTAGTTTATCTCAGAGATATGTTGAAGAGACTAACAAATGTATTCGTCGAGAATTGTAAAGTAGAATTGAAGCCGACAAATTGACCCAGCAGAAGTGCACGTTTCCGGTTTAACTGCCGTTACGTTAAGACGTGTTTGAACACGTTCGGATCTGATTTTTTTGGAATTCGCACCTCGCGGTACCTTGGAAGAAAGGACAATAGAGATAAGTCTGAGTCCAAATAATAATAATAATAATAGTAAGAAGAAGAAGAAGTACACGTTTGCGAAAATACGAAAGTCGTAAATCCAGCTTGGATACAAATCTCGGCAATGATTTGCAACGCTGTTTCAAGAGCTCCCGACAAAATGGCGCAAGCAATAATAAGATATGTTACGTTCTAAAGAAAGTCAAAGTATATTTCATGGCCGAAATAACGTCAGAAATTTGATAAGTATTGCTTAATTGTTGCAGCCTGGGCGGTGAGCGTAAAGCAATATATGCAAAGCGGTTATAACTCGGATAGAGATACTCATGAGACTAAGAAAGAAACAAAAGGTTAGAATACAATCTTCTTTTATTTACGTCAACACTTTGGATTATATGTCTTTTTTTTATGCTGTGCGAACGGTCGCATGCTCGTAAAGTGTTCGGCACGTAAATCTCTTATCAGTATCGTCGCGTCGTTTGATAGATAAACACGCCGTAACAATATTTTTTTTTATTTTGCTTTTATGGCTTCTCGTTACGCCGTGTAGTTAAGTTAACCTATTGTCGTGAGATTAATAACGCTGGGAGATTACCCATAACACAAATGTCTCAACGATGTCTCAAAGACGTCTTTAAGATATGTGTTAAGATGTGTCGTTAAGATATGGGCGTGAGTAATTATCGATTAATTAAATCGTCTCCAAACGAGTGGCTGTAGTAAGTCATAATTTACAGGCGTTGGAATAAACGAGACGGGCCGTTGCATCGTTTTTCAGCAGAATCGTCGCTTTCATTGTTGAACGCTGTACGTGAAGTTTGTACAATGTGGGAGAAACAATATGTAAGAAATAAAAAATATATTCAGTACTGATAACATACTTATGCACGGAGAAAAATATAGATTTTTTTCATGTAAATTTTTCCCAATATTACTATGCTTTTAGTAGCCCAGAAATAGATTGTCAGTAAGATCTACTTTGCTAAGAAATATAATAAATTCTGCAAACATAGCAGTTTAATAACTCATTTAATAACATATTTCACTTCATTTAATAACATATTTTCCTAAAATGTGAGTAGCATATATGAAATGAAAGAATAATGAATACTGTAGAATGTTGACCTATTTTTTGAGTAAAAAGTTCTACAGTAATTTTTACTACAAAATTCTCTCCGTGCATTAATATAAAATATTTCTCAAATAAGAAAATATGCATCTTCTTAAAACTGTAACTTTCTACGAATGTAATTGTTTATTCTGTTTAATTACATTCAGAAAAAGAATATCTAAAACATAGTAAATATTTATTTGGTAGGTATTAATAGTATATTTATTTGTACTTATAAAATGTTTTTCACAAATAAGAAAATATATATTTCCTTAAAACCTTAGTTTTTTTATGAAAGCAATTATTTAATCTATTTAAATAAAAGGGTGTAGATTTAAATATATATGCTATTAGAGAAGAAAGCATTTTCAAATAAATATTTACTAATTTTTAGATATTTTTCCTCTTAGTGTAGAAGAATCCAGATTTATAAGATTTATAAGAACATTAATATAAATATAACTAAGTAAATAAATACGAAGTATACATTTGAGTCGTGGAATAGGGCTGTGAACCTAACTGGCTTACTCGTTATTTTTTCGAAATTTTCTTTATTTATATTGTCGATCTTTTGGGTTGCAGTCATATCTTTTCTGGATGTCCTAGTCTGCGTAACATCTGAACTAACACGTGTTCACACACTGGTTTTTTGAATATCTTCACGGCAAGGACATCAGAAAAATAGTCAAAGTCTGCGTTGCATGCCGGCCGGGATATTCCAATCATGATGATGCTTGAAATTCCGCGCTGTGAAAATCGCACTAAATCCCAGCAGAAATATACGTAACACACAGGCGAGACAACGAGGTATGTTTTTGCGTTTGGAATCGGATTTGTCCAATTGACAGAGCATAGTGTCGTACCTAGTGCAATAGTACAACGATATTTACATCACTCGTTGCAGGACTCGCTGCACGGCCGCGACATAGCAACGCAGGCCGACTTTGTTGTGTATGTTGGCGAGAATATGGGCTCGGTCAAGCTGGATTCGCGACGGCTAACTGGAACAGGAAGTTAATCTCGACGAGCACGGCGAATTAGCATATAAATTCGCCGAAATGGTCTCTACGTATCCAGAACGATACGCGCACGCGGCTGCCGCGGGTATCGCGAGATCGCTTTGAGTCGCAAAGACGCGACCGCGGCCTCCCTTTGTGGGTTTGATTCTGTTGCACCCTTTGTATTCCGGCGTCCATACGTTCAGACGATGCATCAACGACACATGTATGTATTATTTCGCCAAAGAACGGCGTCGCTATTTAACCGCGCCGCCCGCTCGCGGTTCGAAGGATTAAACAGATTGCGCGACTGCGAATTTAACGTTACGAAGATTACGCGTCGTTATATTGTAATCGGCCAGTTTGTGGTTATACACACCGCTCGTGAAGTAAAATATTGTTGACGGTGGACACTTATTCGATAATGCCCGAGCTTAGTTGTGCGATTCGAAACAAACTTCGAGAGAATTAGTTTCATAGTCAAACTCTATACTCAGAGAATAAAAGACATGATAATGGCAACTATACAGGTTGTCTGGATTTAACTATCTGACCGGTCGTGTACATGTAGAAACTGAATGGAGAAGTCATTACGATTTCGTAAACTATCACGTAAATTTTCGAGATGTTAACGGAAGAAAATGGTTCAATCGACGCGCGCAATGTGATAGGGCGAGCTTTGTAGACAGTCCGAGCAGATATGTCTCGAGCTTGTCAAATGTTTCCTAGCATCGGGTGGCAGCCAGAGGCAGAATAACGACTCGAGCAGCGTATAGCTCGTCTCTCGCTGCCATTCGATGTCCACCGTCGCTAGGAAACAGTCAACTGTCTCGAGACATGTTTGCTTGGACTGTCTACAAAGCTCGTCCTATCGCATCGCGCGTGTCGATTGACCAATTCTTTTTCGGTAATATCTTGAAAATTTATGTGGTAGTTTACAAAATAGTAATGATTTCTCTACTCAGTTTAACGAGTTTTGCGCAGACAAAATATTATATTTTTTATAATATTAACGATAATTTTTTTCTTTTTCATATAGTCTTCAGTTTTACTATGTTTTTGTTAGTCCAATAATAGAACATCAGTAAGATCTATCTTGGAGGAACAAATTTCTCTTGAAACATACACTGAGAGAAAAAATGCATAAGAAATGGTAAATATTTATTCGCGATAAGTACTAATAAGATATTTACTTACACTAATAAAAATATTTTTCAAATAAATATTTTGTTAAAACTTCAAGAAAACCTTAGTTTTTCATGAAAACAATTGTTTATTCTATTTGAATAAAAGAAATTAGAGTTAAGTAATAAGTTATTAGTACCCACCAAAAAAATATTTACTATTTTTTAGATATTTTTTTTCTCAGTGTAGCAAGTGTTTTAATAACACATTTGAAATGAGAGAATAGTGAATTACTGCAGAATGTCGACCTATTCCTCAGTTACAAAATCCTACAGTAATTTTTCCTATAGAATCTTATATGTAAAATTGAATTATATAAATTATAATTCTACATACAAATGCAATAACATTCGCACAGTTATCACCTGTATACTTTGCCATGCTTTGTTTTTCTCTGAGAGAGTTTTCGTATTATAAAGTGATTGCTGTACAGAATCGAATTTTTAAATACCTCTCTTTTCAAATATGACACATTCACTGTGTCTTGGTTGAAGCAGAGCAGGTTTCGAAACCACCAATGTCGATAACCGCAGTTGGCTCACTGTTGCACAATTACGTACCAATTGGCACCACCGGTCCGATCGTTTCGAGATTTATTGAAATCGACAGCAGATGATGGGATAGAACGTAATGAGAATCGAGTGTACGGTGTAAATCTCCTTGCCGCGTTTATCTATCGCTTTATTTATAGCCAGCGCCGTTATATGGACACACATATGTGTGTGCGCGTGCGCGAGCACGAATGTCGCAGAAACGATTTCAGCGATCAACAGCGTTTAGCACTCAGGATTTCGTTGCTGGTCGTGCTGTGCGGCTTTTGACGTTTCCGTGTGCCGGATGTCCTGCATATACATCGATAAGTGTGCGCATGAATGTTATAAGAACAATTACCGCATGAACACGTTATGTACAGCGGAGTTTAGTATTTAGAATCTCGTTACGACGCGTGTTATGGCTTTTGATATTCCTGTGTGCCGGACATCCGGCGAGTTCTTGCGCCCGCGCGTGGGCTCGCGCGATCGCATTATTTATCCACGACTCCCAGGAGCGACGTGCGACGGACCTAATTACGTGCAGAGGTAGTTTTGGAAGTTACCGGACGAGCAGAAGTCTAATTAAATGGTCGCCCTGTAGTTCGCGCTTGCTTTGAGGGAAGATTAGACGGCGGCGGAAAAATCGCGCGACGACACGAC